CTTGTTCATTCCGATACAATCCTACTCTCTCGCTCCTGCTCTCTTTTAATGCATTAGGACAACACCGATTCATCTGTTACTTGCTGCGGTAGCTGAACCCCTTTATCCTTTGCATGACCTGTCATTGCCACAGTAAATAGATGAAACCCACTAGCATGAGTAGGAGTTGCTTGAGCCCTGTTGTGCCTACTCATTCATGCTTGTTTGTCATGCCTGCTACTGCTTAGAGTCGAGTCAGGTCTGATTCATCCGGGATGAATCAGAGGTGTGTGAACATGTCCTACTGTGTGTGAGCTAAGTGTGTGAATACGATTTGGTAAAGGTAGCGGTGAGAGGCCATGTAGGAGTACATGGTGGGTTGTCTCATTGCAGCCGTCCTCAGGAACTGAGTTCTGTGTTTGTGATCCATGATTCAGCTACTACCACGCATTGGGCCCGAAACCAATGGACCCTCTCGGCTTCTTAATCACCCTTGTCCTCTGTCCAGGAGTTGCAAGTAGTTTCTGGTGTTTGTAGTATGCTGGAGGCCGTGCGCAGCGCTGACCGTAGGGGTGGGTGTGATGCGGTAGGCACGTGGCCGGGTAAACCGGGCGCCCGTTTGGTGTCACGGAACCCTGTTCACATCGTTTGGGGCTGTGAGCGAAACTCCGGCCGGATCTCCTCATGGATGGAACCCGAATAGGCGATAAACCTGGACTAGAGACTTGAGTGTTTAGGTAGGCCGTGGCCGACACCCACGTTGGGCTTCCGCTTGAAGGTTGCCGAGTACATGTCGTGTAAACGGCGGTAAGTGGTGAGAGCGTGTGTGAAGAAGTACACCCCTGCAGGGTTAACATCATCTATTCGAATAGCCGTGTCCACGGAAAAGGACCTCTGGGTTGCTTATATCAGTTCATAGACAAGTGAAAGTGGATACTCTAAAATACGCAAGATAAGCGTGAGTGCTATGGATGGCGTTCTCGTAGGGAGACGGGAGCGGATCCATAGTGGTGTATTGATATGGTGAATATGTGGACTCGTGTGCGCCACCTCAAAAGTTATTTGCAGTCGTAGTTCAGGTTAGCCACTGAGTCAAAGCTGGCTTGCTGCAGTCAAACTCCACCATCCCTTTGTTGATAATGATGCATATGTAGATAGTTCTGATGTAAGTCTTGCTGGGTACATTTGTACTCACGTTTGCCTATTTTATGTTTTTGCAGAGAGACTTCCGTCTCGCTAGTAGTTTCACGTGGACTTCGACGTTTAGCTTGATACCTCAGCTACGATCTTGTGCCCTCGGCAGGATCTGATAGATAGTCAGGCTTCTCAGCCTTTTTCATTTATAGTTGTCTGTACTCAGACATGATAGCTTCCGCTTGTGCTTTGACTTGTATGCTCTGAGTGTTGGGTCATGAGACCCATGTTTGTACTATCTCGCTCCTCGGAGCCTATTGAATAAACTACTTGAGTCGTAGAGTCATTTTGTGATGCCATGTTGTATTGCACATATCGAGCATATTGTGTGTATGTTATTGAAATGCTTGGTATGTGTGGGATCTGACCATCTAGTTGTTTATATTTAGTAGCCTCTCTTACCGGGAAATGTCTCCTAGTGTTTCCACTGAGCCATGGTAGCTTGCTACTGCTCCGGAACACTTAGGCTGGCCGGCATGTGTCCTTCTTCGTTCCTGTGTCTGTCCCTTCGGGGAAATGTCACGCTTTGAGTACCGGAGTCCTGTTAGCCCGCTACAGCCCGGTTTACCGGAGTCCTGCTAGCCCAGTGCTACAGCCCGGACCCACTTGCTGATGACCGACACGTTCGAAGCTGGGTCATGGATGCCTGTCCCTGTAAGTCTGTGCCGCTTTGGGTTTACGACTAGTCATGTCAGCCCGGGCTCTTTATCATATGGATGCTAGCGACACTATCATATACGTGAGCCAAAAGGCGCAAACGGTCCCGGGAAAAAGGTAAGACGACACCCGTGGGGATACCGTGCGTGAGGCCGCAAAGTGATATGAGGTGTTACCAGCTAGATCGATGTGACATCGAGTCGGGGTCCTGACAACCCACTAGCATGAGTAGGAGTTGTTTGAGCCCTGTTGTGCCTACTCATTCATGTTTGTTTGTCATGCCTGCTACTGCTTAGAGTTGAGTCAGGTCTGATTCATCGGGGATGAATCAGAGGCGTGTGAACATGTCCTACTGTGTGTGAGCTAAGTGTGTGAACACGATTTGGTAAAGGTAGCGGTGAGAGGCCATGTAGGAGTACATGGTGGGTTGTCTCATTGCAGCCGTCCTCAGGAACTGAGTTCTGTGTTTGTGATCCATGATTCAGCTACTACCACGCATTGGGCCCGAAACCAATGGACCCTCTCGGCTTCTTAATCACCCTTGTCCTCTGTCCAGGAGTTGCAAGTAGTTTCTGGTGTTTGTAGTATGCTGGAGGCCGTGCGCAGCGCTGACCGTAGGGGTGGGCTGTGATGCGGTAGGCACGTGGCCGGGTAAACCGGGCACCCGTTTGGTGTCACGGAACCCTGTACACATCGTTTGGGGCTGTGAGCGAAACTCCGGCCGGATCTCCTCATGGATGGAACCCGAATAGGCGATAAACCTGGACTAGAGACTTGAGTGTTTAGGCAGGCCGTGGCCGACACCCACGTTGGGCTTCCGCTTGAAGGTTGCCGAGTACATGTCGTGTAAACGGCGGTAAGTGGTGAGAGCGTGTGTGAAGAAGTACACCCCTGCAGGGTTAACCTAATCTATTCGAATAGCCGTGTCCACGGTAAAGGACTTCTGGGTTGCTTATATCAGTTCATAGACAAGTGAAAGTGGATACTCTAAAATACGCAAGATAAGCGTGAGTGCTATGGATGGCGTTCTCGTAGGGAGACGGGAGCGGATCCATAGTGGTGTATTGATATGGTGAATATGTGGACTCGTGTGCGCCACCTCAAAAGAGTTACATTGCAGTCGTAGATTAGGATAGCCACCGAGTCAAAGCTGGCTTGCTGCAGTTAAAACCCACCACCCCTTTGTTGATAATGATGCATATGTAGATAGTTCTGATGTAAGTCTTGCTGGGTACATTTGTACTCACGTTTGCCTATTTTATGTTTTTGCAGAGAGACTTCGGTCTCGCTAGTAGTTTCACGTGGACTTCGACGTTTAGCTTGATACCTCAGCTACGATCTTGTGCCCCGGCAGGATCTGATAGATAGTCAGGCTTCTCAGCCTTTTTCATTTATAGATGTCTGTACTCAGACATGATAGCTTCCGCTTGTGCTTTGACTTGTATGCTCTGAGTATTGGGTCATGAGACCCATGTTTGTAATATCTCGCTCCTCGGAGCCTAATGAATAAAGTACTTGTGTCGTAGAGTCATGTTGTGATGCTTCGTTGTATTTGCACATATCGAGCATATTGTGTGTGTGATTGAAATGCTTGGTATGTGTGGGATCTGACTATCTAGTTGTTTATCTTTAGTAGCCTCTCTTACCGGGAAATGTCTCCTAGTGTTACCGCTGAGCCATGGTAGCTTGCTACTGCTCTGGAACACTTAGGCTGGCCGGCATGTGTCCTTCTTCGTTCCTGTGTCTGTCCCTTCGGGGAAATGTCACGCGATGAATACCGGAGTCCTGTTAGCCCGCTACAGCCCGGTTCACCGGAGTCCTGCTAGCCCAGTGCTACAGCCTGGTTTCACTCGCTGATGACCGACACGTTCGATGCTGGGTCATGGATGCCTGTCCCTGTAAGTCTGTGCCACTTTGGGTTTACGACTAGCCATGTCAGCCCGGGCTCTTTATCATATGGATGCTAGCGACACTGTCATATACGTGTGCCAAAAGGCGCAAACGGTCCCGGGCTAAGGTAAGGCGACACCCGTGGAATACCGTGCGTGAGGCCGCAAAGTGATATGAGGTGTTACATGCTAGATCGATGTGGCATTGAGTCGGGGTCCTGACACCGGGACGCCGCCGGCGCTCATTCGGGCACCGGCGGCACCGGGACGCCGCCGGCGCTCATTCTCCACGCCCCCGGCACGCGCATGTCGGGGGGCGCTGGGTACTCGGCCGTACAGAAGGCGCGCCTCCGGCTCTTGGAGGTGTCGGCGGCCAAAGCCGTTCGCCGCTGCGCCGTCGCCTGGGAATCTCTCGGCCATGCTTTGCTCGTCGGCGGGAAGGGGGTGGTGGGGGAGCTCGCCTGCGGGGAGAAGGCTTTTGCGAGAGGGAGAGGGGGAGGCTGTGGCGCTCACCGGCGGGCAGTGGCGCCTTTTATAGCCGAACCGGGGCGGTGGGGAGGCGGCATGCGGGAGGACGCGTGGCGGGAGCGGGCGGGACGCGCGTCGGCGGCGTCTTCACTGCGCCACCCGTGAGGCATCAATGGAGGCTGACCGGCGCGGCAGCGCTGCAGCCTTGGCATTGATTCCCGTGGGAACCGAGGCGATGAGGGCGACGAAGCGGCTGTCTCGCTGACTCGGCGGGCCCGCGGCTGTTTCGCGCCAAAACACTCGCCCCGGCGCCCCCCAGCGCGTCGGGTTCGGCCTGGGTCCGTCGGCGCTGATTTCGTCCCAAGCCGGCGAAAAACGGGCTCCTGGGGACGCGACTGAGCCATTTTTTCGGCACCGGCACGAAAAAATTGCTTGGGGAGGTTGTGTTAGGGGCGCGGCTGGAGATGCTCTTAGCGCCCCTTCCTATACAGCACAATTTGAACAAGGAGAAGTTGGCACTCAACTCCTTAACCTCATTCAAGATCCCACCGATCTCCGACCTATGGAACTCGTTAGTCCCACATTCTAACCACCTGTTGGACATCAGTTTCGATGTGGACCGATGACTAGAAAGACATTTGTTTCAGGAGACAGGAGAGGTACGATCGGACAATTTTACTTATAGAGGTGTTTTTTTTATATACCAAAGGAAATATATAAGTACGCTAGTAGCACCCTCGCTCCAATATGTGTTTGTTGCTAGAGTAATTATTATTTATCAAAATACTTCAGATACAAGAAATATAACTTTACCTGTATTTAGTAACTAAGCAATGAAGGAAGATAGCCACCTGTAGCTTAGCAAAGTCTGAACCAACACATAACCGCAGCCCGCCTCCAAAAGCCATGAATTCCTTGGGGGCACCACTAACTGGTTCAGCAGTACCCTGTACACGCAGGTTGTAACTAGGTTTCAGGGAGATAAGTACTATGTTTGTGCAACAATTAATATTACTCCCTTGCATTAAAATATAGCTAGATCCCTTAGCCTTTTCCGCGACTTGAAAAATCATAGGGGTAAAATGAATGAACATGTTAATTAACTTTTGATTCTTCTATATTTTTCTTTAAAAGAAAACATTGTACATCACTACTGCCTGCATAAATAATTCGTCTTTAATAATTCAAACTTCACTTAGTTAGGATGCTACACATCATGCATGAGCTACTTTCTATTTTTCTATGGAAGCTCTTGAGCTAATTTTCTCCTTTCATGACATGAAGTTCAACCGTATTAATATAGGAAAAATAAAGATACAATATAGTATCATCTATTCTGGAAGCCTTTTCTATCCACCGGCCTGTTTTGGCCCTTTAAAAAAGGAGGATAAGCCCATGCACACAACCATCTGACAAAATTAATACATGGATCAACTCAAAGCCAGCTTCCTGACTCGCTACACCTATTAGTTTAATGATGTGCCTTGATCTTGCACCAACGCACAACATCTAATATGTGGCCTCACCAAGCTGGCACCAACCAGTCTAGCATACCCTTAGCGTACAATGCATCCGCACGCTCCGGAATCCGCCACCGTCATCTTCCGACGTCTCAACTTCAGAGGAGATCAACGCATTGACCTTGTTAAGCCTAACTACCGTAGACACCACCATGATGCATGTCAACGTCACCACTCTGCACGCGTCCATCAACAGACGCCCAACGCTGAGACCCTTTTGCGCCACGCCGCCGAGACCCGTCATGGCCGACGCGGTAGATGCCACATCGCACCACCTCCAGATCCGAATCGCCGCCAAAACCAACCTAATGGTGTCCACCAGCCAACTATCTCCCAAGGCGGTGCCGTCAAGAAGGGTATGACACCGATGGCTCCATCGCTGCCCACCTCAGTTAGGGCTTTCGCCCGGGAGACACATGACATCGTGGCGGTAGAAGCAGATCTAACAAACGTCTCCATGGAGAAAAAATGGCATCCTCGGGCACCGCTGTCATCGCATCAGACCACGCCTCAATGCTCAGGACCCCCGCCGAACCAGAGTCACCACCACAATGGCACAAAGAGCAGCCACCAAGACATCACCCAATGGATGGGACAGATGCATGACACCCTCACGAGATTCCCCACTGCCACCTTCCTAGGAATTAGCTTTGTCGGTGTGCTTCTCTGACGGTGGCAAGACGAGATGAGGATGGGAGGGAGGGTAGTGGTGGCGCTGGCGGTGGTGTTCCCCCATGTCACCCGAGAGAGGGGATGTGAGGGCCAGGCTATTCTCTATTTGCGAGATCTAACCTAGAATCTTCTTTCGTCCTTTACTCTTTAAAATATGTGCATATGTTATTTTGCTTTAAATTTCACATACCTTCCACCTCCATGGATTGAATGCATTGGGGTCCTCGTAAATTGTAGGATCCAGATGAACAATAGAAGGGTTAATCATGATCTTTGATCCTTTTGGTATAATGTAACCTGCACAGATCACGACCATACATATCAATACTAATTAGGGCATATATATAGCTAGGATCTCATATAGTTAACTTGCCACAGCTATAATTGTGTCCATGTATATAACATGTTAGTCCTACATGACCACTTGGCATGCGTGTGGTTAGCTATCTCAAAAACAATGAACAAAAGGTTAATCCTACATGTATCGTTTTCCTTACAAGAAACTTTACCTTTTACATGAACATCCTCTGTAGCTTTTCTAAACATTATCGGAGCAATGTTAATCAGCCTTAATGCTTCGTGTATGACCTAGAAATCAACAGTGGAGAAGATAAATGCACATTGTAGAGGTGGATGCTTATGATAATAATCATGAACCAATTTAGAAGTTTGCATGGTCGATGAATGGTGTAAACGAGACATACATGAGACGTAAATTTCATGGACTTGTATTCCTCCCATGTGATTTCGGAGTCAGGGTCAACCCTTCTTTTCCGGATGTTCTCGTGCTCCTCCTGGAACCATCACACTGATTGATTGGGTAACATGTTCAACATGATTATAACTTATCCAACTATACATAGACTTCTAGTAGTATATGTTGTTCAATTATTATAGACTAAAGTGCTATTTGTAAGTTCATGTGTGGTAGGTAGGTGAGAGTGTACTATGAAAGGAAGGGTTTTTTAGACTGAAAATCAAAACACTGAAGTCCACTTCCTTAGCCTTTTCTTCACTTACTGTAAGTTCCTGTAGCGCTTTCGGATTGTCTGTTAGGAGTTTGACTGTGGCAGTTATCGCGGATGACGTGGTCTCAAAGCCGGCGAAGAGCAACAAGAAGAGCAAATCCAACGCAATTTTCTCATTCATTAAATGCTTCTCCTCTTTCAAATCATCGATCAGTAGATCGAGAAAGTCGGCGCTCTCTTGATGTGATGCCCTCATCCTCTCATCTAGCATCTTCCTCAAAGTCGCCATGACATACTTTCGTCCCTGGCATTGAAATTGTTATATATGCATAGTGTGAAACTAAAACATGGATTATACTTATATAGGATGTATACATATAGAGACATGATTACATGCTCCTAAGAGTTTTTACTTGCGTCCCTCGTATACCACATAGGCGAATACTCTAAATTATATTTCATTAGTTATTACTAGAGACCCTAAAGAGATAATAATAATAATAATAATAATAATAATAATAATAATAATAATAATAATAATAATAATAATAATAATTTGAATCCATATACAAAAAAACTTAGGACGTGGTGATCTTTTTTCATACTACTCCCTCCGTCCGGAAATACTTGTCATCAAATTGAATAAAAGGGGGTATATCTAGATGTATTTTAGTTTTAGATACATCTCTTTTTGTCCATTTTGATGACAAGTATTTTCGGACGGAGGGAGTACTTGTGTAGAAGTATCTTAGAATAATCTATAAGATATACTAAGACAGCTAAGGATGCATATTAGTCTAATTAAATGATCGGTCTGAGGGTTGTGATGGGGAATACCCAACCAGGTAGGCCAATAAGACGAAGAGAAACCAGCAGGTCCCTGAAGGACCTACACTGGACGAGGACCCTGAAGAATTTGGCCTGCTACAGGCCCCAGCTAGACCCGGCCTGGGAAGGATCCGGCCTGAAGAAAGACCCGACCTGGAAAGGACCCGGTCTGCTACATGGACCCGGACTGAAGAAAGACCCAGCCTGAAGGACCTGAACCTAGGCGAGGTTCTGTGAAGGAGTCCAAATACAAGATGGAGACCCCCAACTTGGAAGACAGTACACGAAGGACCTAGAGGGCTTAGAGTAGGACTCTGATTGTGGGTGAAACCTGGAATCTCTTGTAACCCCAGGGACCCGGCTATTATATAAAGAGGGTTTCTGGGTCGTGCAAATAGACAAGATTTTTAGCTCTCTCGAGAGAGGTAGAAAGAATAGCATCATTGTAATCGAGACCAGCATATTCAGTAAGCAATCTAGTAGGAGTAGGTTTTACCATTAGTAGAGGGGTTAAACCTGGGTAAACTTGTGTCTCTCGTTTTCAATCAACCCCATCCAAGGCTTCACCTCACAGCCATGGCCTCACAACTAAGTTCTCCTATGAGGAAACTTGCCGTGTTAACCCCACGACAAGGTTGCCCCCTCGTTGCATTCCTTTTTCCTTAAAAGAATTTGCTATTGTATACTTGTCAATTACCTGCATACATTTGTAGAATGCCGTGCCAGGGATGTAGAGTGGAAATGCTAGCATTCCCTGAAAGAATGCATCGAATTGCTTCCAGAGCTTCCCATCTGAGTTTGAGGAGTCATAGCTGATTAACCTCTTTGATGTGATGCTGAATATCATCTACGATAAGAAATTGTTGCATTACAGAGAGAAGTCAGATGACAAGGTGCTCATAACTTAGATTTAATTTGCTCATTTTTCTCACAACATGATTATTTTAGGAAGAAGCTAACAGTGACATACACTTGCAGTTGCCTCTTTCAGTTCAATGCTGGGTTGATTGAGCCACAAGAGCAGGCTGGTCTGGACCGTTCGCTGAGCATCATGGAGCATGACTAGCCTGAGATTTTTAGGGCCAAAGAGCCTAAGGACTAGACTCCTCATGTGCCTGTGGAAGGACCCAAGTTTTGAGATGATGCTGTCGGCTCCAAAGATTCTCATGACCGACTCCGGGTACCAGATTTGGAATAGCTTCTCCTCTCGCTGGAACACCAAGTTGTTCAGCTCTTTGTCCATGGAAACTATGAGGTCTTCACCAAACAAACTTGTCCTAAAAATTGGACCATACCTGAAATTTGAACCATTCGTTAATTTTATTCTAACTAATACATGGGATGCTTGCATGCTGATATCACCATCATTGATTCGATATCTTAAAATTTAAAATGATTTATATTACAAACAACTAATCTTCACTGTTAAGTTTGTCTTAACACGAGCATCGAAGCAAGTTTCCATTTTGTTATGTTTGGATGGATATTTTTTGTTGCATCCAAAATTCTCCCAATACTCTAAAAACAATTGTGCTGTCACACGTAACCTAACTCTTTCATGAGTATGCAGTTATTTCTACAAGAGTTTTACACGTTAAACTGCTATTTGTTTACAATCTTCTTTTTATCTACTACATCCTCCATCCCCTAATATAAGACGTTATTATAATAAAATACACATGATCTCATGGGTGCTCCACACCCCTATATGAATATTAAACATAAAAAATACCAGAAAAGTAAAAAATTTGAAATTTGGGGATATCAAACCTGGGTTCTCAATCTACTCCGGTGTGAATTTTCATGAAAAAATACCATGAAACGTATCTGTGGCGAAGGAAATACTATCCACACAAAAATCTATCCAAACAATTTTTATCCATACATAGGAAATTTTTTTGTCTTTTTGCCACGAATATGTTTCCTAGTATTTTTTTTCAAGAAATTTCACACGGGAGTAGATCGGAAATCCAGGTTTGATATCCCAAAATCTCAGATTTTTTTCAAATATCTTGGTATTTGTTTTTTGAATTTAATGTTTGTATAGTGTTGTGGAGCACCCAGGTGCTACAAATCCGCGTCCGCTATTATATGCATAATGTCTTATATTATGGGATGGAGGGAGTACTTGTCAGGCTATTCTATAACATATGAAATCTTCTACTGTATTATCTATCTCTTATATACTAAAAGTAATGTACGGTCTCATAAAAAATATGCTAGAAAATCCCACATAAATTAGAAACATCAGACCTTTGATTCTAACAAATTTTAAGATAATTCCCAGCCGATAGATTTCATTAATACAATCCCAACAAAATGTATGACTTGAGACGATCTTGGTGGGTGTCCCCATAAGAGATGCTTCGTCGTATATATGGGTACAGTGTGCGACATCTACTAAGTTAAACTATTTGAGTAGTTGTGTCCTTGGTCATGGACGAGTCAGGATAAGTCACACTATTTGGTCCTTGCCAAACTTGGAGGTTAAATCGTAAATAAAAACACATCATGTAAATTAAATCAAGAAAGGTATTGTGAGCAGGTGACAAAGATGATCTGTGATGTTGGGAAGTGCATGTATTGTACTGAAATGACAGTTGGATTGTCGGTTATGTGATGTTAAGAAATGAAGGTGTGAGCCATGAAAGGGCTGTGGAAATGTGGGTATCGAAGACCATGAGAATTTTTTTTATGATATTGGAATGGTCATGAGAACTAATTGAATCATTATACATTTATATCTATATGCTATATATTCATTATACTTGCTAGATAAAGTTGGCTATGCGCCTATGCCATGATAGCTACTCCCTCCGTCCGAAAATATTTATCACCAAAATGGATAAAAGGAGATGTATCTAGATGTATTTTAGTTCGAGATACATCTCTTTTTGTCCATTTTGATGACAAGTATTTTCGGACGGAGGGAGTATAATTTATATGATTATGTGACATGTCATACACTACTTTATTTAGTGTTATATATTATTTTCATTATCTTGCGAGTATTAAAGTACTCACTTGCTCGTTGTTTTGGCCATATTCAGGTAAGGAGACGTCTTCCACTAGCGTGAAGTCCAAGTGTTCATTTGCTAGGAGATTTTTCCAGCCAGTTCCCTATGGAAGTGGTGTAGCTCCAAGTACGTACGTGCTGCCCCTAGTTTGTCTTCCGCTACTGTTAAACTTTACCATAATGCAAACTATCGCGGTGCTGTAATAAACAAGCCACAATGGCTTTGTAAGCCTCTTTTTTAGTATAGGTCTGTCTTTTGATTATCAAGTATGTCAGGCGATGCCAGTGTGGTTCCTTGGCTGGCTGCGCAATCACCGATTTGTGAATTGGTGTGTGACAATCTAAAAAACTTTTAAAGACATGTTTTTGTGCACCCTCCTCTTTGAAAACTTTACGGCTTTTGCTGCAAATCAGTGGTGGAGAAAAGCACACTATTATCTTTTAACGTGGTAACACTAATAATTATCAAACAGGTATTACTACCTCCGTTTCTAAATATAAGTCTTTTTAGAGATTTCACTACGGACTACATACGAAGTAAAATGAGTGAATCTATACTCTAAAACATGTCTGTATACATCCGTGTGTAGCCCACAGTGGAATCTCTAGAAAGACTTATATTTAGGAACCGAGGGAATACTAGATATAATCGACCTTATGGACACAAGCCGATGATTTAGTTAGATCTCGATGTTGATTTGTCTCATCTCCTGAGATCAAGATTATGACCGCATGAATTCCAAGATTGTTCTACCATCATTGAGGAAAGATCCTCAAATGAGCAGGCAGATGGCCTAGCTAAATATACTCCGGGTTAGCTGAAGGCCTTCATGTGTGGCCCCTTTATCTCAATCTCAATGGAGCTGTAAACATTTCTGTAACTATTAGCGTTGATCAATAAAGTCAAGCATGTTTGGCCCTAAAAAAAGTACCATCTTGTGATTAGACGAACCAACTGATAATAATTTAGTCTTCTATACATTCATCACCTATTATTAAACCCACAACCCCATTCGGACATAGGAACACGTAATATTTTTAACAAGGTTCTTGATTCCTCATAATTAGACATACATGTATGCTTCATAGTTAAGGTATGTGCGGTAAATGCTCTGTAGGAGCGCTTAGAGCACTCAAGTAGTGCATGGGCTCTTGATGTGAAATTCTATGATAGGATTTTTTCAGATACAAATCACCCAAATCCATTATCTTTTAGGGTGCGTTTGGGAGCCAAAGTATTTCTGTAGTTTTTTAGAAATACCGTGGTTTCTGAAAAAACCTTGGTATTCAATACTTTGAGTCGTTTGGATGAGAACAATACTCAGTTTAACAAATCGTGGTATCTCTAAAACTGTGGTATTTTTGTAGTATATAAAAAAGAGGTCCTGACCTCTTTTTTCTAAAACCGAGAAACGATGGCTGCTTGGCCTCTGTGTCCATCTTCTGGCCATCAACCCATGTGATACATAAATCGATAGCTATCGATCGCTCTATCCGGCTAGAGGTGGACATACACGTACAAATACACAGTTTTTCCAAAACCGTAGTAAGTGAAAACCTCAGTATTCAAATGCGTGGGCAATGGATACTTCAGTTTTTAGAAACCACAGTTTTTCTCAGTTTTAGCAAAACTATGAAGATGTTTGGCAAATGCAGTATTCCTCACTTTTCCTGGTTTAACTGTGCATTCATCGTCGAGCTGAATTGAACACAGCTGCGCTGAAGGACAAGGAGTTACAATGATCAATCGGGCTGTGTGTAGGGCCATTCACACAATCAATTGGCTAGCTAGCTTAGTACGCCTTGTATCGGGAAGTCAGGATCAATCAATCAACTTCCCATTCTAAGAGCATCTAAAGCCGGACAAATACGGACCCTCAAGCGTCTGTGGGCACTGACCGGGCACCTCTCCTATTTGCCACTTTGCATCTGTGTATCTCATATTCGGCGCCTTATATTCATACTAGAGACGCAGACGTTGATCTATCCTACGTGATCAAATGACGGACAATAAAAATCGACTGCAGAGGAACAAAAGATCGGGTGCAAACGGACATTAACATACTTCACCACCATCCAAAAGATCATAGTTCGTCCCCGGACAAGTTCGACTCCAGAGTGTGCATGCGGGCCGGAGGTGCGGGTACAAGCACCCAGCGCTGGCCGCGCGTGGAAGAGCGGCTGGCGGGGGAAGGAGATGGTGCGGGGCCGACGCGGACTGTGTTGTCCTTGTGTCGCTGCGGCGGGCCTGGAGGGTCCAGCTCCGGCGTCCGCGCTGCCCCGGCCGAGAGCTGCGGCGATGCTCCAGATCCGGAGTTGCCACCGGTCTCCACCTTGGACCGCTCCAGTGCAATGCGGAGCAGGGGCGGATCCAGTGTAGGGTCCTGTAGGGGCGGCCGCCCCAGGTAAATTCTGGGAACTAATATAGCCCTCTTTTGCTTTGGCCAGTCTTGGGCACCATGGGAGACGAGAGGAGCTTCCTTCTGTAGGTTCTCTATATGCATGCTACAGAGAAGAAAGAAAACGCTTCGAGTACGAAGACGAGAAGAGAAGAAAACGCTTCGCTAAGGACATGGGCCAATAAGGAAGGCCCAATATAACCTGAGATGAACCATTCTTTTTTTTACGCAACCCACTCCGTTTTCTATAAGCAGCCTTGGACGTTCCCAATTTCCTATCGATCGAAACCGATCTCCATGGCTGCTGCGCGGCGGCGCTTCCAACCCATGGCGTCCGATGGAGAGAAAGGGGGTCCACTTGTTCTTCGTGCATCCGTACAGGAGGCACGATCGCCAAGGCCACGACCTGGTGTCTTCCTTCAAACTGCAAGCCAGCAGTCAACTGAGACAGCAACGAGCATGTCCTTTTGCTCTCCCCTAATCTTCCGTTCTATCATTTTTTTATTTGTTCCCATGTAGACCTAATTCTTAAAAGTTGAATATTGATATTAATTACAAATTTGATGTTAAGATTCAGCCAAGAGGATTCCAAGTTAGACATTATACGATTGTTTGTACTTCCTACATCCCAAAATAAGTGTCATGGTTTAGTTAAAATTTGTTCGGAGGAAGTAATATATATTTTTTGCCTAGTTCTTTAGAATGAGACTACATTGAACATTTCATTGTGTTGATCATCTTGCCTAAATGCAGACTATTGGCCAATTAATTTTCTTGATTGTCTTATTTGATTGTATCATGGCTTCATTTTTTTCCCTTCAAAAGTCCGCCCCAGGTAACTTCAAATCCTGGATCTGCCACTGATGCGGAGGGCCTTCTC